ATTATTATTATTATTATTATTATTATTATTATTATTATTATTATTATTATTATTATTATTATTATGGTCAAGATCACTCAAATATTGAACATACATTTCCTCAATATTCCTCATCGCTAATTATATCATGGTAGATGCGTTTATTATATAAATAAAATAATGAACGTATTCAATTTTTTTATATTTTTAGTCGATCACAAGACATTATATTGACTTAATACCCTCACTGTGACAAAAGTGCATTTACTCTGAAAAACCCGAAAGACCCGAAGACATGAAGTGAACTGATGACTGTCCCGTAGTCCATAGGACCATAGCCCGTACCTATATTTGTGCCTATTCGCTTGGTAACTTAATTAAGATAAAGTGCAATCCCATATCGGAATTACGCATTGAATTATTTGTATTCTAAATTTCCCCGTTTTATTCGGCATAATATTTCCAAACTAATATATAGATAACACATTTCCACTATATACAACTTAAGTACTGATTATATTTTAATATCGCCTATCGATATCTATAATCACATAAACCTAGGTACACTACTACACTAGTACAGTCTAAACTTAATAAATTATATAATATATTACTTTGTATTGTAGTATATATTATTTGAGTTATTGAAAAGCATTTAAGTTATATTTTATTATTTTGTTACGTGAAATACATGAAGATAATACAGTGGCGTCATTTCAGTTTTTAATAGTGGGGCAAAAGTTTTGAATAAGGCCAAATGGGTAACTTAAAAATAAAAACTCGCTTCGCTTGATATATCCAAAAAAGTCCTAGGAAAAATAAGTCCGTGCCTCGTGGTGAAAATGTTCGATGTACATATAATTGGGTAAAAAACAAAATATGATGTGATACACAATCAATTATCAAACTTCCTATTAGTATTAATGTAAATTGAAGCTAAATTATTTAACTGAAGACATTGATAAATAATCTTGTAGGTACGAATATCGGCAAAATACATCGAATAATACCTATATTATTTTTAATATTGTTATACTCTACAAATTCTTTTTAAATAGGTATATTATTTTACTGACGATAGTTAATTAAACTGATAAGTCATAATAATATTAGACAAGCATTATCGTTATTGAATTTTTTTAGCTAAGATAATAAACTAGATAGTTAATACTTAATTTAACCAAGAAATCATTATAATATATTATGTATATGAAGGGAATGATATACTAAATACCTACCTAATTATAATCATTGAGTTTTATTGTTTAAGATTTATTATTTAAAATATTTTTGCATATAAATACCACACTTTTATGTCCCGGACTTTTTAGGATTCATCTATTGTGGACTTTTTTACCGCTATTAATTAGTCCACATGTTAATATATTATGTTCTTCCTCCATAAAACACACACATACCAACTTTCATGCTCGTCTCCAAATGCGTATAAATATAAATATGTAATCATCGTATTTTAATTAGGATGTAGTTTTAATTCGCTTTGCAATAGCTATTCAAAAAAATTATTCCTATTTTATAGTATTTGATTTGATGACATTTTCAATAACTTCGGTTTTTTTAATAATTTTATTTATTGTATTATTTATATATAAATATATTATATATCTATACTATTATATAAAATTGTAAGGGGTTTTCTACGACAGCGCTAACCGAGAATAAAGTTAATAAATAATTAGTTATTATTAATTAAAATAAACGTGTAATTGTATACCTATACTTTTTATAGTAAGGAATAGTCACTGCAGTGCCGTATTTCCCAGTAAACACTATAAGCTAGTGCTTAGGGCGGCAAATAATTTTTAATATTACATTTTTACTATATGTTACTACAACTAAAATAAAATGAAACTAATTATAAAATGTTTTTAGACCAACGGGATTGTGGTAATAATGTAATATATTTTATATTTTATGTTTTCCAATTTCATAATCGTAGCGTTGGATGTTTTTATTTTTCATCATTAAAATTTTAAGTAAAAAATAAAATACTATAATTGTATGATTTAATAACATTTTTTAGACTAGAAAAATATTTATATTAAAAGGCGGCAAATTATTTAGTGCTTAAAACGGCACAATGGTTAAATCTGGCACTGAGTCGCTGGCTGAAAATAAATAACAATCAAACTCGACAACCACGGATGCTTCTAGGCAGGTTGATAATTATTATAATTATTTAGTTTAGCAAAAAAAAAACAATTAATTTTGTCTGATCATCTATTATTAGTATTTATAATGAATGGTGTTACATTAGTTATTTTTAAAAAATAACTAATACTAATCGAATTTTCACAAATTGCTTGCTAAGATGGTTGAGTTGCACTTATAGCAGCTCGTCGGCTTATCCACAGTCGAAATAAAAAATAAAATAAAAATAAAAAATATTATTACAAATGATCGATTTCAATTTTTTTTTTATTTCAATATAAATGTTGGATACGGTATTCAACATTTATATTATTACGCATTAGTCGTTGGAGTACCTATAAGCGAGTTCCTATTTGTATCATCGCTAGGCCCGTTTCACAGCGACGCGTTCGTACACGTGGCGTTTTTTTACGCGTCGTATTTTGTTTCACATCGACGAGTATTTTTGAAGCGTTTAGTAATCGACGAAATAGAAGTTCATACGAAAGTTCAATCGAAGTTCATACGCGCATACGCGCCATGCCCGCGAGGGGAACGCTCCACTGCGAGAGTGGCGCGCAATGCGTATGAATTTAACCAATGTTAAAGGCCGGGCGCACATTGAGACGCAGCGCAACGCAGTGTAGGTAGGGCAGCATAGTCAAACATTTTGTGATACACAGGTTTGAATTTGAACTGCAGAGGCAGAGCGTTAATTGAAAGACAGGACAGAGAAGTTCAGTGCATGCATGACCCTGCCTCACACAGTGTTTAAAAACTAAAAAAAATAAACTAAAAACGCGCGCGTACGGTACGTCGCGTATGATACGCGTCCATCCGAAACGGGCCTTAGGCGCGAGTGAGCGCGAATCTCATCTACCGATTGAATTTTTAGTATAAAAATGAGTTGAAATTACGTTTAACAACATTTCTTTTGAGAATAAAACTTTTAGTACAAGTAAATCATCAAAAAGAATGTCTACTTATCACTCTATAATCACCTCCATGTCTGTACTTGCTCCAACCGAATGAATAAATTAAATAATATGTTAAAACTGCCAGTATATACTCAAACAGTGACTTGATTAACATTCGGTATATTATGAATGACTCACCGTTACCGCTGTCTTCTGAATTCTTAGTTTTTTTCTGAAAAAATACTGTTGTTTAACTTGCAAATCTATTGTACAGTCATGATAATGGATTTCCTGTTCAGATAGCTATTCTATTTTTGGTGTAGCGTTTAAATATTAAATCGTTTAAATTTTATAGATACCGGATAACGGTTTAATTATGTTATCTTATTCTTATATACATACATCATATACTGTACAAAATATTAACTTCTACATACATAGTACATGCAAGTTATTTCCAAATGAAGCAACTGGTTTACTGTATGTCTTAACTTCTGCTTCAACTGCCGCGGTATCTGAGTCATGAGAGTGCTCATTGATTCGTTTTAACACGGTCAAATCGTCTACATTTGTGTGAATTCGAGATTCACAGATGTTTCTCTTCCTACATCGTCAAAAACGTTTTTTCCCATCTGCACTAAACGCATCGAATATAAACGTAAAATAATTATCCACAAAAACGTTACTCCGACGAATAGTTTCTACGCCTGCCATTTTGGTACTGGCGAGCAAATAACACACTACAGACTACACTGTCCACTAAGCAATATCTGTTGGCTGTTATTTTATTACTATCTTAATTCTACCTATTTTAGTTTATCGCTAAACGCGATTATAAGCTATGATAAACACAAACTCTGCAGCACATCTAAACCTTCAGGTATCAGAACATAATAAACTATTTAGACGTTGATAAAAGATTATTAGGTGTTATTAAATATTATTGACGAAAAATAAATATTTTTTATTATTATTGAATATTAGAAAATGTGTATAATAAATAACAATAAGTAAAATGCTCAAAATTTTGTTTAACGGCGAAGTGGCCTCACGTCGAAACGGCGACGGCGATTTGTCTGTGTTTGGTAGGTACATTATAGGAAACTGTCCGTGGGGGCCCCCATTGCCCCATTGTTCCGGTGCCCATGTGAAAACCGTTAAGATAAATATACGATATTTTTATCTTTTTTGATTCCTTGGATGATTTTTAGCGATTTCTATTGATATTTAAGATCGGTTACAAGCTCTGACTCAACATGTCGAGCTCAAATCTAAAAAAAAATAGGCCTTATTTTATTTATTAAAATTAATTATTTTTTATTTTAGTTCAAAATTGCAAAAAAATTTGGACTAGTCTGAGAGATGGGTACAGAAGAACTACCAAAAAGTATATGACAATGTTAGGATAAAAAACAAAATTTGTAAAAATATGGAAATGTGCGATAGAAATGGAATTTTTAAAACCTCACATGAAGAAAAGTAACATACTTGTGGTAACTGACGACGAAGATGATGTTTTATCTCGTTCAGATGATGAGGAAATTCAAGTGGGAGGTGAGAATTCTGTCTTATTTGAAAATATAAGAAAACATAGAAATATTATTTAGTACACTCGCTCCAGTTCAACCACGACAAAAAAATTTAAAAACACGAACTCATTGAAACTACCCGAAACTGCATCATCCACTCTCACGAAATAGGTATAACATTGAACAAAAAAATTCTCAACAATCATACCCAACATTCAACAACAAGCAACTTAGGTGCTATGGACCAAATTTTTTTATCAATGTGTTCGGTGGTCCAACAGTTCTCACCGTACTTTCAACACATTGCGAAAACTAAAATCGTTCATATTATATCAGAACTAGAGTTAGAACAACTAAGACCACCTCAACCACAATCAACTATTTCTAATCAGGACTCATTACAACATCTATCACAAGTAAAAACACAAACCGTTCCTACCGAACTTCAATTAAATCATTTGCCAAGTTTTGAACACCCTCGACCACAAACCATAAATCACATAGAAAATCTTGATCATTCAAACAGTGCAAGTTCAAATCAGTTAAATATGTTCGAATGTTCGATTATCCTACAAACGGTAATTATTACTACCTAAAATCTAGTGATTAGATTAGAGTATGTAATTTTCTTTATTATTTTCTTACAATTTTGATTTATTTTGCAGTTAAATTATTTATTTTTAATTAAAAGAAAAAATCTAAATATTCCAAAAAAAAAAAAATTCCCAATGAAAATATTTAAGGTGGAAAAATGAATTATAATTATTTAAAATAAAATGTATAAATGTTATACCTATATAATATAACCTGAATAGTATTGTTATTTCATACTTTCCGTTTTCTTAATACATTTTTTAAAATAGGTATGTATTAAGTTTGCTTGTATTTAAGTTGACAAAAAGACAATTTTTTTAGTTTTGATATATTTTATTAAATCAAAATATTCTTTATATTCAGTTTCAAACTATTTCTACAATACTTTATTTACTATAATAAGGTTGTATAGTTTGAAAATGATTATACCTTTTTTAAAATTAAATTTGAATTAGTTATGCCCATTGGTACCTGAATTGAAATTATCACTTATATTTAAATAAAAAGTTAAAAGATCCACTTTGTTTTTGTTCATTTGTTACCTACATTAGTACATTTACCACCTTTTAAATTCTAAGCTGAGTGATAAATGAATTTATTTTACAGTGATGTGTTTTTTTTTGTATCCGATGACGATTTTTACACCAGAAAGAAGTGCTTCAATCCTCTATTTCAATGTATTTTCTGGTGGGAATATAAATCTATTTGGTACGTGGTCGAAACTAAAAAATGAACAATACCTTTCTTAATGATTGGAAAAACAAAAAATAAATGGTGAACTGGAATACGTAAAACTAGTTTTTCGACAAAATCGATTTTTCAATATTTTTTCTACAGTGTCTGTCGATTCTGTGTTCACACTGCACCGGCACTGAACGGCACGATACGGACCGCCAAAACATTCTCTCGGATGATATTCGGTCGGTTCGGTCCGGGCTGTACCGGGACGGTGCGGTGTCGTCCGTATCGATGTGAATTACCTCACGGTCACATAAACTGATAACGTGATATTTTGTCGTGCCGTTCAAGTGCTGTGACGGTTTGTGCTGTGCCGTGACAGTTTGAGTCGTGCTTAAGAATAATCCTACGTTGGGTAACCTGTATATCTGAAATTTTGGATATAAGTATGTAACTAGTTTTATAATAATATATATATATATATACAATCACAGATATAATATGGCTTGTGCGTAATGTCATTGATTATATCTTACTGAATCTTGGTCCGTGTCAATGGTAGTATATAATATGCTTGATGTATATATTCTGTGTTTATACCATGGTTTATACTAATAGTAGTATTCATCACATAATCTGTGGTTGTATCATTCATTCATTGGCAGACGTCGTTTGACGAGTCTTACTACTTCGTTCGTGAATCGTGTTTGTCCTTCGACACTCGGCAGTCGACAGCACGACGCCGCCCGACGGCCGACGAAGTGTCCGACACACGTGCATCGCCATCACCATTCACCACCGATACCACTGCTGTCACTGCTCAACCCGCTAGCCATTTGTTGAACACTAGATGACAATCATTAATAACCTTAGGTAATATAACGCCGAGGCTATTTTTCACCTGTTTTACACTTGTTGTTTTCCTTTAATTTTACTAGTTTTGTTGAATAACGTGTTTTGTCCATCCATCTCCTACCAACCATCAAGTGACCGTCGACGGACATTCCAAAAATGGCTTCTGTTAACGAAGATTCTGTTCGAGCAAACGAAGGTAATGTTTTTAAACCCAACGATTATAACTTTAATTAATTTTCTATATTATGCTTGACATAAGAGTGGAGGCCATGCCTATCTCGGGTTAATTATCGAGATTAAAACTGATTATTATTATTTTTTATTTATTATTGTTGTTGTTATTATTGTTATAAGTAAACAAACTGCTCGGTGCGTAAAGAAATGTTTGAATCAATATATTATATGAATATAAATCAAATATCGACAACTAATTATGTGACGGTTTGCCTCGTGCAAGTACACATCTAACATATAAATATATAATACAGTGTCCCATTCTTTATAATATAGGTAAAAATTATATGCACTAAAATCATATTTTATATGTGAAAATCAAATTTGTTTAGTGAGCATGTGTTATTAGTTCTAAAGATTTAATACAGGTTGATCCATTTAATGTAAAACCTAGTTAAAACAGTCAATATATCAAAAAGTATTGACTTTTTAATGACTTTTTTTTTCCAAAGTCTTAGGTCTAGGCTTTTCTAGATGTTTTTCTAAAAAAATGTGTACTTTTAAATTTTTCAAACTTAAGGTACATTTATTAGGCAACCATATCAGCTTCAGATTTTCAAAGCATAATATACTAAAAATATCATACAGTAATAAGACTATTTTTTATGAATTATCACATTAAAATTTTCATTTCAATGGTTTGAAAAGATATATTTCCTTTAAATTAGGTGGTTTTGGGAGGTTTTTGTGTGTAAATGTGTACCTATCGCAGCAATTCAGTTTCTTATGCCTCAAGATAAAAGATTTGATGTTTTTCAAATAAATTAAGTAAATAGAGTTAGCTTAAGTTGTGCCACTAAATGTTATTTATCAATTATCATGCCTATTAGACAGAGTGTAATGCAGTTACCCTACTGCAGGTAATTTCGGCGATGTTCATAATAATTATTAATACTTATTGTTCATTAAGACCAGAATTCAAAACTCATATTTCATAAATTCAATATTATTCAACCCAAAGTTCGATAGTATATGCCCATTGTGACATTTTACCAAGAATCATTATCGGCTAGATAATAGATTGTATCAGGGGTATTCAAATTTTTTCATCCCATGGCTCCTTTGAGTCTTCTCCAAATGTTGACGGCTCGCAAATTACAAATGACAAAAAAATTAACGTTTATATGAATGTAATTTGTATTTTATAATTTATACTATTTTTTTATTTACCATATTACATATAAAATAAATTATAAATAAGTAGTTATTGTAGAAAATATTGTCATTAAATATTTTATGTTTAGTCCTAGTGAATATAAATCAATAATATTTAGTACTACATTTTTAGTGAGATAAACAAGCTTATGCTTCATAATATGTTCAAATCGTGGCTCAAGTTTGGAAATAGCTATTGTCATCTCCTTATCACCATTCACTTTCGACCGATATTTTGTTTCAATTACAGCTAACGCAAAAAACCCGATCTCACAGAGGTACGAAGTTGCAAAAGGTGTTAAATTTTTCAAATCCGGCGTGCCTCAATGATATAATAATAAACGTTTTTCTTAAAAATATTTATTGGTTTTCAATTATAAGTGGCTCCCTTCGACAACTCCCGCGACGCCCCTGGGAGTCGCGACAGTTTGAATACCTCTGGATTATACTATCTACAGGTGTGATACTTACCTAGGTTAGGTTGCTATTGGTTGGCCTAATATGTTGTACCTATGCGATAATTTTATATATAAGTATATAGTTGAAATTTAAATATATTTTCATAGTCGTTTTCCATTAGATAAAGTTTTAATTTTTTTTTTTATTTTACTTCTTAAGTAATATTTTGAAGGTTATTTATGAATAATAATTGTAAGATGATTATATTATAATTATGAAGTGAAATAAAAATGAAAATGAATTCAGCTATGGGTACTTAGCTAATATTACGGTATATTATGTTTATGGTGACCAGATGTATTTTTAGTTTGTAGCTATTGTGTCTTAATCAATATACAGTTGGTAGTATTAAGCCCATGAAATTGTAATCTTTTTTAACTCAGTAATTAATTATCAAAAAGTTTCTAATCTTAAATAACATACAAATACTATAATTTCCAGTTACCTACTTCATATTTATTAAATCTTTGTATAGTTACCTATTCAATATACAATTCTGGATGTACCTACCCTAGAATAACAACATATTACAAATTTTTTAACTATTTAAATTTTCATAATTTCAGTTATCCAAATGTTTGATTTTACAATTTAAAATCAAATGTTTATTGGTATAATGTAAATAATTGCCCATAAGCTGCATCAATATTTGAAATATATTTAGTTGGACAGTAAGTTTTTTTGACCAATCTAATAATGTAATCATTAATAATAATAATAATAATAATACATATTGAGGACCCTCATAAATTTAAATAGTTAAATTTTATGTGAAAAACTCATTTGAATGTCATGAACAAGGTTTAAGACAAAGCATTTGCTGAATTTTACTAATTTTAGTGGTTTTTTTGAAATTCATTTTATAGTTTTTATATGTGTATTTTCTACTATAAAACGATGCAGGCGATGCACATTAAGAAAAACTAATAATGATCTTTGTAATCTTAAAAAAATATTCTACATTTTATATGATTGGTATTTAAGAGGGTGTCAAAACCAATAAGGCAATAGCCATAGTTACTTTCTTTTATTTGTACTCTAAATTTGAATTGATTTAATCTAAATTATTATTTTGTTTTATTAGTCCAGTATATACGAGATCAAGTAGACAAAGGAGACCCCTAAGACTTATCTAATAATATTTTTATTATCAAATTGGGTTATTTTTTTAACTTCATCATAGCTTTACTAATCTTGTTATAATTATTATAATCATGAAGTAATGCATACAGTTTTTGGCTTTCCCACGGTTTTCTTGGTTGCGTCATTCTATTTTATATTTCTATCTTGTATATCTATATCATAAATCATCAGTATTTTGTGCATATTTTATCATAGATCTTAATACTGAAATATTTAATATTATCTACACCTATTATAGATAGGTAACCATGATTAAGAGCTTTAATATTATTCTTGTGCATTTACTAGGATCACTATTTATAACCCTACAAGTATGTATTTAAGCAAGTTAATTACCCAGTAATCTTGGTAAATTTATAAGATTATTATCATAATCAATACTATTGTTATTATTACTATTATGTTAAATAAGGTTATGTTAGTACTGTCACTCGTGCTTAAAGAACGTCGCCATTTGCCCATTTCTAGGTTTCAACTTGTTGCTCTAATTTTTTAATTTTTTATTCATAAAGAACACTGTCAACATGGCATGTGTGCAGGCTAAAATATAATGTAATTATTGTGTCAAAAAGTGTGTGGCAATTATTTATCATTAAAAAAAACATTTATAGTGTAGGTTATTGGCGTTTGTAACAAAAATTAATTTATATAATTTCTAATTCATATTTTAACAAATATCTTGTTGATTTTTAAAAAATAGTTTTATAATAGATTTCAGTGAAAGTATAAAAAAAGAAAAAATGATTTTGTAATTTTAATTATCTATATAATATTAGAATTATAATAAAACATAATTGTAAATTAAACTACAGGAATAAGTGTTAAAAATAAAAGGAATGATCCTGCAATAGGTCTTAAAATGAATGAAAATAATGTTTCAGGTGCAGCAAAACAACTGCTGGTAGCTTCTGCGACTAAAACTTTACCAAAAAAAAATAATAAAAAAAAATTAACTAAACATTTAGATAATATAAAAGGTAAGGAATCAGGTATTCATTGATGTTTTGAAATTTCCTATTTTAATTAATTTTGTTTCAATATAGATAGATTTGCTTGGAAAACGATCGCAGGATTTTGTATACCATATATCGTACGTTTAGTGGATGGTAAACATTTGAAATTTGTATCTACACAGATGGGTGAACATCTGTTATTGAAAAAATATTTACATAATTTAGATGCAGATATTTATAGGTCATGTACAGATGTGAGAGGTTTTGTGATCACTGATTTGGAGGCGAAAGTATTAAATTACATAAATGATAAACATTATGGAAAAGATTTCAAATTCTTAGCGGGAAAAGATTATATCGTCCGTTTAGAGGATTTTTGTAATTTTTATATGTTCATAGAAGTATGTTATACAAAATTACTGTGCAATAATACCTCAGGTCACAAAGACAAATGCGGTTTTATATGTATTGGCTCTGAATCCATAGTACCATATTGTACTATAGATAGCAAAAAATATGTTCCAATATTTTTCTTTGAGGGGGATACAGACCACCTCATACCATCAACTTTGAAACTAGTAAATTGGCACTTGGCATATCTTAAGTTTTGTTGTAAACTTTTGGGTGTCAAAGCTAAATGGTTTGATGGTGACACTTGGCTAGTGACCGACCTTAATCATATCAAGAGTTTGTACCCACCAGAAACAGAGTTTGAAGATTTTTGGCCACCTCATTTGTCTGATTCATATCTCTTTGCTTATCGTAAATCTAAACATGACAAGCCACCAGGTCCCTGGTTCAAAGCATCCCTTGATGTAGTAACTGATGTAAATACAATTCATCACAATTCAACTGCACCAACTCCAGCTGTACCACAAAGTAAAGAAGTGATGATAAACCAAATGGTATGTATTTTGTACTCAGTTTATAAAATTGCTACTATATGTTTAGTTTTTAAAAAAAAATGTGCTGTCTTTAATATGTATACTTCTAATGTATTATTTATTTTATGTTTAAAATTATTTTTAGTATTAACTATTAAATATTCATGAATAATGGATCTATAAATAAAAATATATACCTATTAATTAATAATTATATATATTATGCCCAACAAAATAATGTATAACAGGGAAAAGTGGTCTGAAGGCTTTTAGTTTTTGTAGAAAATCATAAAAAAAATTTCTATTTATGTCTAAGATTTGAGAATATAATACAAGATTCTCATACGCTCTCCTACCTTTTAACAACAAAGAAAGTCTATCAGAAGGCCCAATTCATTTTTTTTTTTTAGAATTCAAATGTTGTCAACATTTGAAATTCAACCATAAATTTACTATTTCGCCTTCATTGTTTTTTGATATTTTGTTATAATTATCAAACAAATAACCATAGGTACATTTTCACCAAATGTTTATTTTATCATTGTCAACAGCCACAACAGAAGCAGCAGCAACAACAAGAAATTACTACTCCTGTAGTTCAAGCACATAACAATTCAAATAATCCTGCATACAAGGTTAATAATGTTTAATATTCTAAGGTTAACTTAAGTATTATATTATTTTTTTAAATAAACTCTTAATGCTTTTTTTACATTAGATAATTGTAAATTGCGTTTTTATATATATTAACATGTATTTATTTACTTAAGTAGCATGTACATTGTGCATCAACATCAATTAATTTTGTTGTTACCTAATGTTCATTAAATAAATATGAGTTACTAGTACAGATTAAACTTAAAATTAATAATATTATGATTTTATTAATAACTTTTACATGAATTTTTTGTATTTAAATGTATTTTTTTTTTAAAACCATTATAATATTTTTATATTATTCACCCCAGTTTGCGTTTAATAAATGTTATTTATTTATTTTATCACAGGTTCAACTGGCAACACTTGAAGGAAAATTTATTAACTGCATAAACGCCAAGCCTGGCATATATTCTGATTTTGTGGTGACCTTAAAAGACCTAGTTCGAACTGTGTTGCCTCCATGCACTGTTGCAAAATGCGCTCATGTCCTGTACAAATATTTAAAAACAACCCTAATATTTGGAAAACCGTAAATATCTACTCCCTCTTCTTTTAACCATCATAACTCTCCTACTACTTGTGTAACACTGATTGAAAGAGGTTAATACATTTTGTTGATCGTTTGTTTGACAGTGAGCAGTTGGCCGTGTTATGGGAGAAAGGACTCATTTGGTCAGTGAACCCAGGAGATACACCAATGGCCAAGCTAGAAGACATCAAACAAGTGTTGCCGCAATTAAAGACATTGGTGTCAATGGAAGATAAAGAAATTGAGAAAATAATTTAGAAAAAGACTTACTATATAAATTATATTTTGCTTCAAAAAAGTTGATATCTCTTGGTTTTTTTTAACAGTTCATAAAGTTACAGTTAATATAATAAAATATATTACAATATCACAAAATTGAGTATATAGTTAATTTTCCAGTACATTATTTAATCTAGCAATTGATCCACGAATATATACCCAATACCGTGTATGTCTAAAAAAGACAACAATATTATCACTCATTCGCTATAATTTATTTTTAATTCCAGCTAAAGCATCAAATAGTATCTTGCGATGAACACATCTACTTCGCTTATATTTTCTAGTCTTGTATAATTCAACTGGTGGTTTTTGTTATTAAATTAAATATATACTTTGACGGGGTACAGGTCAAAAAGAAAATGTTAATATAGCTTATAAAAAATGTATGCATGCTTGTTGTAATTTGTAAAACTTTTGTTTGAGAGTAAAAAAGCAAGTATACAAAGTTTCATTTGGTACAAAGAATAATAAAAAGTTTAGCATACACCCACATTACATTTCTATGGATGTAATCAAAATAAATTTTTTAAGTAGTTATTTATTTAAATGAAAAAAAAGATTTAATATTTTATTTGTTGTTATTCAAAAAATATTACTGATAGGGACTTGAAACTTTTTGCAATTAGTATTTATTAGTTACACAATGAAAGGTACTAAATATTTAGATCAATTTTAAGTTATTTATACCACAAAACTATTCAAACCGCACTCAGTGTTAAAGTAGGCTACTTATATTTAATGACCTTTGATAAACAAAGACAATCAAATACCAACAAGTAACAAAGTTTGAGCTTATATTGAAAGGGGTTATGACTAGGGCTCAGATTTGTATATCTGATTATATTTTTATTCATTTATAGAACTACAACTGAATTGAATAATATTTGATTTAAATAATTTGTACCTATAGCTATATTAAAGCAAATAAATAATTAATTACATACATTTTTAAATTTTTAATATACATAATTTTGTTTAATTAGCTGAATTATCCGGTTTTGGCTGTATGTAGTTTTAAAGAAGAAAAAAATGTATTTTACTTAATGCTAATAAGTGCTAAATAGTAGTAGTAGCTGAATTATAAATAAAATAAAAATAATAGTATAATAATGTTTACAAATGATTCTAATGATTCTATACGCATGTTGTTATTAAAAAATGATTCTATAGAGTATAGTTATAATTATAACTTGTATAGTAAAACACGTTTATCGCATATCAATAAGAAAAGTTAGTTTATTTTTCGATAACATAATTGGTGTACTAATTGAGCTATTCAGTGTTTTCCATACAACTTTTAACTTAATAAAAATGTTATGTTAGTTTGTAGTTTACAATTTTGGCAAGTATTCCTTCGTCATAAATATAGCGGATGCAGCCATTGCTTCGTACTTACGATCGTCTGTAGACAAATTAACTGTCATCGTGTCCTGTCGAAACAAAGATCTATTATATAATTATTATATCTTTTCTAGCTGATCTGTTGCACTTCGTTGCCCTTTAAAAATTCCAACTCTATGTGAGACTCATCGCTTGTGATAATGTGAGCACTATATTATCAGGTAGACCAATCTTGCGGACCCCACTAGGTGCACACTCTATTTTAATAATATGTTTAATTTTAATTTTATTAATTATTTTGATTGTGTACATGCCGATGAGCGGCTTTAGGTGTAACTAACAGCCACCTTGGTAGGCAATGTACTTAAGTTCGATTTGATGCATTCTTAAACCTGATCTGCCAGATTAACCAATGGCAACCAAAAAATAAAAATAAATAACAAGTTCTACCAAAAACATTAAGAAAGTTGAGAGGAAAATGAGTTATTAATTAAAATAAACTTGCAAATTGTATACCTGTACACATATGACATATTGTATGGCACGGCGGCCTGAGGGTGACTTAAGTTTGTTTAACATTTTAAGCGTGATTGCTTAAACTAACCACGATGAACAAACACTTATCAAAAAACTCACTGAAAATTTTTTCATTAATCTTCCAATTGATTCCACTGTGAAATGAGCACTAAGAAAGTATAAATTAACTGTTGATGCCTTGACCAACGGAAATAGGGATTTATTTTTATATTCATAGATATATATATATTGTAGAATTTTACTCCTAGGAACAAATTCATATCTACACGCCGATCAAACACATAGTTAGACGGACAAAAAGTTATGGTTACAAGTCACTATGGAAACCCACAGGCCGCAGGTAGATACTAAATATGTATGCAGATATACAATTTATTTTTACTGATTTCAACCCTTTAAAATCAAAATTTTGAAAAATCCTTTCCTAGTGGTACTCGCCATCATAACATTAATCTATCCCCAAAATTTAATTTCGATGCATTCGGCTCTGTGTTGATTATAGCTAAAGTACACTTTCTTTTACATATAGATTATTAAAATAAACATCGTAATAATATTACATTGTATGTGGCCTGCATATCGTACAAATTTATTTATTTAAATAAAACAAATGTATATTGTATATTTATTTATATTGATACATATTAGATTCTAGTTTTTTTAACTGTTAATAAAAGCTCAAATAAAATACTACCTACTGATCTAAGTACACCCAAATACCTGAATAAAAAATCATGATTGCAAATGCATTAACTAAAAATATTACATTTCATTTACAATTTAGAATGTAATATGTATGTGATGCAGAGAACGCCACCAGAGAAAAATAAAAACAAAAATATTAAGCAAAACAGCCTAAACTGATATAACCGTGGAACAAAACATAATATAATAAAACGTCCTTAATTGAAACTATTTTAAATTTTACTGAATTGAACAGAATAATCACTTTAAAATAATCTTACTTGGCTACTATTTACATTTTAATAATGTATTCACAATATAAAAGCCGTCTTTTGGGCAAATGGTGGAGCTTCCTTTACAAGACATATGTACTACCCAACTGTCAAGAAAATTTGCATCTGGAATGTGTACAAGCAGAGTCACTTTATTTTTTTCTACATACTGAGTGATATTTAAAACAATAAAATATTGAGAGCGTAAAGTAAAGATCCCTAACCATAGAAGGCATGAAAATGTAAGGAATTCAAATTTATAAGGTCACCCATTAAATCATCTTAAAATATATCATTATATTTCTATCAAACTAACAAAATGTGTCTCTTGATGTTAGTTTATTTTTAGATTATTGTAATTTGTAACTCTTAAATTAAGTATTAATAATACTCAATTAATACATTAAGTATTTCATTTTATTTTTCAAATATGAATATTTATAACATGTTGTATTCCTTATATCATGGTGTTGCCTATGTTGATACTGCCAAGATGATCGACAAACAAACACATTGTGACCTTCCACCAGGACGACAGTTCCACACAGCAATGGTTATCTCATTTTAATCTATAACATAAAATACTATAATAATTACATTTCTGTTTACAAAGTCAAATGCCAAAGGTTATCTGCTATCTAGACAATTTTATTTAAATTTATCTATAGCCTCATCTAGATGATTGTATTAAAAAAACCTATTTTATATATTATATAAACATTTTTTTTTTTCAAATTATGTAATATTTTCAACATAATGTACACAAAAATTGTTGTAGAAGATTTATTTTTTAATTTTTTGTAAGCAGTGTTTGTGTTCAAGGTAAAAAATTATATTCTGCCGTTATAAGCCATTAAGCAGGAACTCCATTTTTGTTAAAATCGAGTAATTGGTGTCTTTCGATAGATATTTTTTTCCTCTATATTTCCGTAGTAAAATTAAGGTTTTTCTTATTAGAAATGCATATTAATTGATAAGAAAATAACAATGTAGAAGAATTCATTAAAATAAGAAGCAAATAAGCAGTATGTCAAAATACTAGAACAAAAAGCAGTAGGTGATCTGGAGTTACTGCTTTTTTCTTAGTAATTATTGTATTCAAAAAGCAGTATGTCCAACAAAATTCAAATGTTTTGGGTTTCAACTTAACATCAGTACTGAAATAGAAAAAATATTTATATTTAAATGCTACAGATAACTTGATAAGGAATAATATAATACTAATTTCCAAAACAAAAAAAACACATTTAAACAGTTTTTATTATTATTGCTGTGTAATTTATTAAACATCACATTTTCAATGTAGACCTACTTAATATCAATATGTTATATTATGTTAGACATTTTATTTTTTCTAATTTTCAAGAACTAACAAGACAGTTACCTACATTTTAATGTTATACTTAAGAGGACGTTATAACCTCATGTGTTGTCTTCGTCTTACAAGTGCGTAATTTGACAAACTGTATGGTTTGCAGATCACGTTTAGTTCTGCCAGTTTAAAAATTAGAGTGATTTGACCTACTATAAAAATTAAGTGAATATTTTTATTTTGGGCATTTCATGGGTTCTATATTGAATTTTAATTTTAAAGCGAGTTATGAGTATTTTAAAATTATAAAACAATAAAAAGCCCACGAGTTGCCTCAAATCATAATCTAAACATTAATTTTTATTAGAAGTCAGTTCACACTTATGTTTAAACTAGAGGAGCTAAACTTTATCTACACTTATAAGACGCACATGCGAGCATAACATCCTTTAAGTATCAACAATTTTCTATATAAAACCTATTTTACTTGGTTATTTTGAAGGCAGAAACGTAACTATTTATTTGTTATTTTCATGTTTTATCTACTTAATCTAACCTAGGATTTTTATCAACAAAAATAAATTAGTTAGTAACTACATTTTTATTAATTTCATGACTTAAAAGATTTTTGACTGGCAAGTACCTCTCTAATTACTTTTCACAAAAAGGCCAAAATTTTTCAAATGTTGTAATAATTAATTCAAGCAGTTTTTAGGATGTTTGTGAAACTAGTTTGATATCATTTATAGTACAAGGTCAGATTAATATTACTATTTGGATGTTATCCACATTGCAAAATAATTCTTGATTAGAGCATACTGAGTGAAACAAACTAGGTTTCATCAATTCCTTAAGCCATTTACCTTTCGAGTTTTAATTTTTAATTTACTATAGTAAAGTTAATGTATCAATTTTTTTTGTTTACCTTACCAAGAAAATCCTCAAGTTAAGTCTATATAATGAATGCTATTTATTATCTCGTCTCAGCACTAATTTTTGAAAGAATCAACTACTTATAGTTGAATGTAATTAATTATTTTAGCTACATTTCCAACCCTAAAAATTCTTCCAGTGTGCAGTGTGAACATTGTTAAAAATTAGTTTGAAATATTTATAAATTATTCAAAGACTCAAAACATTCTGCGAGCATATTTAAATAACAAGACCAAAAATAAAATTGTTGGTTAAGCTAATACAATTAATATCAGTCGAAAGACGTGTTTTATTTTTGCCCCATGTTGTACATTTGCAAATTATAAGAAGGACATAATATTTATACATTTAATACATGGTGGTTACCTTTGTCTATGGCCATTGTCTTCACAGTAGGGCTCGGGCCACATTCCTCAAGTTTGGATACTGGTCCATTGGAATAGTTTTAGCCTGCAGGAGCAGTAGCACTTTGGCAGCCGACATCAACATTGGTCTTTATTTTTGGCACACCTTTAATGGAATTTGTACTGGAACAATTTGAGCTATCATTGTACGGTATTTGTCACTCAAATTCCTTTGAACCTATCATTTAATATTAAATTTATTATTATCCTAAAATAATGCCATTATCTATATTTTCGCGATGTAATATAAATTTATATATCAAAATCATAACATATAATTAAGTAGATTGTAATTGAAGGTATATGTTGTATGGGTATCATAATAATAATATGATTATCATTAACTGCAATACGTATTTCATTTTTACATCTTTGATAATATTATGAAATATGATGGGCCGTCCTTAGGACTAATAAAAGTACAATTATATTTTAAGAATATTATTGAGCTAACATAGTGGTGTCTTCTGGCTAACACTAATAGGTTAATAGGCTCAGGGTTATATGCATCTTAGCATGCTAATCATAGGCACAAATAATGTTAAAGACGTGTGGGGAAGGACTGAATCAAAACTAAAATAATATTGAATAAGCTTAAAAAAATGTATGAAATATTCAGGGACTATTCAAATTTTTTAAGGTTTTAACCTTAAAGCCCCTCTCATTTGGTGCTTAAATACTATGATCAAACTTTGTATGGAATTATGACCTAAAATATTGTGTTTTGGAAAAATGAGCATAAATAAAATTTAATTTAGGATTTGCAAGACCCCTAATACAAAAATAATTGCAAAACCAATCATGGAGATACATTAATACGTACGAATGTGATTAAATAAATACACATTTATTTAACTATTCATATTCAATCATTGATTGAAAATTAATAGTTTACTAGTACCTATGTAGACAGTTAAATCAAGCGGATGTCGCTCTGCTGTACAACAGGTTACAAGTGGATCACTGTAATAGACGGTGTTAAATTTGAATTCAATGACATAAAATCATTGTATACATAAAACGATTCTGAGCAAAGACGCCGTGTCAGCCTATAATATTACTAGTATATTTTATATTATTGTGATTGAAGTAATTTATTTTCCTATTAGGCATTTGTACTAAAGTAATTAAAATTCATTTTTGCTAAAAAAAATTACATTTGAAAAGTCATTAGGTATGTGTATAAAATATAATACTATAAATCCTCCAAAAGCTTTAAGTTCCCACGAATAATATTTTTAGATTAAAACAAAAAAACTAAAATTATTAGCCTTGGATTAAATAGGTAATTTTGTTCTAATTTGAACTTAATAGAAGTCTGTTATTATATTTTTCAAATTTTTGGTTACAGAATTAACTACTTTAGTGCAACCTTTTGAAAATTATATCATTTATACTAAACATACGCATGTATATAATATACATAATTGCACAATTCAGTTATTGTTATAGTTTTTAACTAAAAACATTTGAAAATATGTTAAAATTATGAGTTAATATTTTTAAATTACAAAAAAAATATCATTATTCTTGGTTTGAATATATAATTACATTCAAATTTAAACTTAAAATAACTATAAAAAACAACCAATTTTTTTTCAACAAAATGATCTTCTTACATGAAAACTTATTTTAAATTTTTAATTACAAAATAATTTTTAAATTTTAAATTTGATATATTTTAAAATTTTAACTTTCTATGCTTATAAAATATAATTGTGCCTATTTATTTTTAATATTTTTCAACTATGTTGTAACAATATATCAGGACCTTTGTATTCAGTTTTCAAGGTTTTAGACCCAACGAACAAAATGTATTTGATGTCTATAGAAAAAAAAACTAAAATGATTGAAAATCGAAAATGTCTGTTAACAGCTCAAAACAAGTCAAAATATTTTTAAGTATAGGAAATGATAAAAACATGTTTTGTGTACATTTTAAATATCTTAGGTTCTTCATTTTAAATTACAATAAAATAAGAAAATCACTCCATGAAAAATCGAATTTCATCTTCAGTATATCTTTTACGTCAAAAAAAAAAAAAAAAAATGGGAATTTCTGCACAAAAAATTATTTTTAGGTTTTTGGTGTAACTCAAAAAAAATAACTAGATACATGAAACTTTTACTGCACATATACATATATTAGCATTTACTAAGCACTTTAACATTTTCCAAATAATTTGACTCATGTTGAGCTATTTATAGGCATATGCAATTTTTGATAATTATTAGTTTTTTAAAAATTAATATTTATAAAAAAATGTTTTACTCAAAAAACATGAAAATGTAATACAAGGTTCCTCTTAAGTTGTTGTGAGTGGAAATTTAAAAAAAAGTATGTAATATTTTTTAAGTGTTAGAAATTCAAATTTTGACAAAATATGTAAAAATCACAAAATTGCAAATTATTTTGAGTTAGAAATTCATAAGAAATTTTCTTTTTAGATTCAAGATTTTAATATTTAATACAAGATTCCTCATAAGCAGGGCTGGGCAAGATACCTCAAAAAAAGTATCTAAATACAAGATACAAGATACATTTATGACTAGTATCTAAATACAAGATACAAGATACTATAATATTTTTAAAGATACTAGATACAAGATACATGTATCTGAGATACCTGTAAGATACAAGATACTTAATATATTTATTTATTTTTATTAATTTCTTAATTTACCTTCGATATAATTTTATCATATATAATATATATTATATTATAGGTTATAAATGTATAATAATACGGTATGCATTGATCATTAACAATATAATTTTAAATAACATTAGATACGCTTAAAACAATAATAATACTAATAATAGACAAATATACATTATAGACATTATATAAACATATAGTTATAAATGTTGTGGTACATATGTACATTATATATTTGTTGTATATGTTATAAATTGGTTAATTGGTTAATATTATAGACATAAAGTTTCCATATTTTAAATAGGTACTTACTTTCATATGTAGTCGAAAATTTGATGTGGAATTTATTGCTCCTGAAATAATTCTGTTTTCTTTTTTTTTCTCTTTACATGTTACACACATAGCTTTTACATTAGAATTTACATTTATTATTTCATCAGAATTTAAAATCGTATAAAATTTGCCATCTAAGCATTTTGGAATATTAACATTTTGGTTATCCATGTTTTTAATAACAGATATATAGATATTAAATTAATATTTACAAATATTAAAACAATGCACAAAATATAATTTTTTCGTCACTTTGTCAATCTACACAAACACCGCACAGATGCATAAATACGCACGAGACAGACAGAGAATATGAACGAACAGTCGTCAGTCGACGACCGGTGATCAACGAAGTCTTATCGCTGATATAATATTATCGCCAGACACCAAAGTTACTTTAATCTAATATATTATTATCTAACATATTATTACTAATTGGGCAATTGGGAAAATTATTTTTTTTTTTTATTTTTATTAGCCTCTAGTAAAAACTATGATGGCTCAAGGGAAAATTGTTATATAAATGAAATATGAAACATATTTTTTGAATGTAGGTATCTAGTATCTTAATCATAAAAAGATATTAGATACAAGTCAATAAAGTATTTAAATACCCGATACAAGATACATTCAAATTATGTATCACTTATGAGTCATAAGTCAGTCTACCTAAATCAAAAACAAGGTTTTTTGTTTTTCGTACCCAATAATTGTAAATGATTAAATTCAAATTTTACATATCCATTACAATGACACGTCATCTCACTTTGAGACCTGTCCACTTTTTTGTATATCTATTTAGGTTTCAGGAAAAATTATCATGTGTTATGAGGAACCTTGCATTAAATTTGCAAGCTTTTTTTTTTATAAAAATTGATCATTTTACTAAATATGTATGACATAATTAGCAAATTTTTAAAATTTAAACTTTAAATTCTTGTAAAAAAGTTGTTTATGGTACACTTACTTCAAAAAAAAAAAACTAACAGAAGATTTTTTTTTAACATTTATTATGTTGTTTTTTTGTTATTTTTACTATACATTTTTTAATAACACTTTTAAGACTTGATATTTTTCGGAAACCCATATTTAATGAAATTTGGCAAACAGACAGTCAAATACCAACAAGTAACAAATGTTGAGTCTATCGGAAATTCCAAAATATTATTTTAACATTAAATACTGTGTTATCTATCAATATAATATATATATGTTAGTTATTGCCCTGGCATTAAATTTATTTACAAAGGTTTAAGCTTTAAAGTCAACTTACCTATGTTTACAACTTTCTTCCATACAGCTTGGGATGGATGAAACCAACATATTCTAATTATGGTAATCGGAAACAACATTCTAATAGAAGCTATAGCTGAACCATGTTAACTATAGTAATCAACGGTTGCCACTCAGGTATTAGACTTATCATCTTATTGAAAACTGTTTTGTATGCTCTTTCGTTTTTCTTTGACATTAACGCAAACTCTAATGAAAATACCTGAAACAAAATGTTCTTTTTACATAGATTTAAAAACAACCATTTAAATAATCCAAATCAAAAACTATTGTTTTCTAATTGAGTAGTATTAATTTACAAATTATATACAAAACTTACAGTATTAAACGTAGTGCACATAGCGACATTTGTTTTTAAAAGATGGTACACTTGAAAAATTGCAATCCAACAAAAACATTGATCCAATCCTAAGTAGACTAAAATAATTGTATAATAAGATAGCATACCTATAAGAAAATATTATTTGATTATTTATTTTAAATACGTTATAATATATTTATTTGTATACTTTTTGACTCCAGGCAGTATAAAAAACAAAATGATTCCTTCATTCGGAACTGTACTAATAATGCCACAATTACTTATCATGAATACGTGTGCATATTCTTCAGTCAACTGCAAATGAAATGTAGTCACTGAGGAGTCACTGGTTGATTCTGACGTTTATATCTTGACATTGCACTATGCAGTAACCTTAATGAACCAATGTGAATGTTTATGAAATCTGCCATAAAACGTATTTCCATATTAAAATTTGAAGATTTAACTTACAAATTAATTTATCAAAAATGATGAATAAGTTTTGTGTATAGGCGGCAGTGGTCAAAGTGGGGGGGGGGTTAAGGTGGGATTGCATCCCTCCACTTTTTATAATTCATATTTACCAACCCTCCACTTATTTTGAGCCACTTTGACTACTGTGTATAGGTACAAAACTAAATGTGTACAAGTAAACTCTGTATATGTTTATAAATAAAGTTGTCTTCAAATTATATTTTACTTTTTGATTTTATATTTAGTGACACCGTTAATTGTATGTTTCATTATGAATGAGATAGAAAGAAATTCGCTCATTTTGATGAACCTATACATCTGACAAAATTGTTAGTTTTTAAAATAATACCATTATAAAAAATATAATGTAATGTTTGCATAAATAATGTATTACTTTGCATTAATCAGAGCCAGCGCCAGACGGAGGTTTTGCGGGGCCCGGGGCAAATTTTTTCATGGGACTTAGAAACCTTATTTCGTAAGGAAAAAAAATTTTCTAGCACATCCTAGTACTTAAACTTTAAAAAATTGATATATTTTGCAGAGCCTTTAATAAGTTAGTCTAGTGATAGCGTATGAATACTTAAGTTGACATAAATTTAGCATCCCCATAATTTAACAAAAATTGCACTTATGGAACTAGGTACAGACTTTTATATTTATAATGGTAATCATAGGCGTAACTAGTCCTTAAAGTTGGGGGGTTACAGCTCTAGCATTTTTATAATAAGTAAAAATTTAGGGGGCTCTGCCCCCCCCCCATACCCTTCAACATGTTACATTAATTGTTACTAAATGTAATTCAGTTAGCATCATATTTGATTATTATATTGTGTGTACTGTTTATGCGAACCATTAAAAAAGCCGAAAGTGGTCAACATTAAATTATTAAAATATATTATTTTAGTTACAAATTCAAGTTTTTAATTTTCTTATGATATAAGTGAAATCTAAATAATGAATATGGGTAACATAATAATCATGCACTAGGTATTACAATTGTTGTCTTCATTCAGTACCTATGGGAATTTTTTTTATTTTGTCTTTATTAGGAACATTTGATAATTCTCTTTCAATAGCTATAATAAACAACTTTGAGGATCAATTTGGTAACAGAAAGTGATGAATGTAACATCTTGTATACATTTGGAAATATAGATTATAGAATAATACTCTTCAGCCATTTTACATACCCCCGATTATTGATGAAGGATAACAATATTAAATGATTAAAAATTGATTATCTAACCAGCATTTTAAATTTTAATTTGGTTTCATTTATTTTATATTTATAAAAGCCCAACAACATGAGAAAACAAAATTTGAATAATCTATTATTATGTAGCACACAACCGTTGCACTTCTGAAGATCAAATAATGGTGATAATTGATAATATAAAATCTGATTCTGTTTTTAGCATAAGCCCTAATAAGCGGTCAACAGGTGCAGTCATCTGGTCAACGTTACTCATTAGTCATTATCACTATTTATACATTAGTGTTACAAAAATAACATTTTATTTTATTTAACCTAATTTATAATTTTTAATTGGTTGTAATTGTTTCATGTGTTACAACTTTAAGTATTACATTTTATTACAATTAATAAAACCATCAGGCTTCTAGGAAACATGCCAGACAAAAACCATATTATACGACATAAATTGAAAATAAATTTGTGTTTCAGCTGTAGGAATTATTTAAAATAAATATGTCAGCGGAAAAGAAATGGATAGCATTATTAATAAAGTTCAAAATAAGTCTCAAAATGTATAAAATATGCTCTACAAACAAAAAAAAACTCAAACTATACATTTATTTATAAAAATAAAAACTTCAAAACTACCTTTGAGAAAGTATGAAACATAATCGTTTGGTACTCTGCCCTAGTCATGTGCTTACCTAAATATCTGACCAACAAAAGTTCCATCATATCATGTTATTTACTTGATTACATCATGTCCATCGTACATAGGACTAAGGTAGTGATTACGACGACATACACAACTTAAGCCGACCACCAACGTTCAAGTGAAGACACACAAGGCGTCAAGGCGCAAAGCACGTGTTGAATGATACTGTTGAAACATATAAAAAATCAATATAATAGGTACGATTACTTAAGATTAAGCCACGGCCTTGATAAAACATACATAAATTATGTTATACATGTTTGTTATTACGTTTGTTCTTTCCATAGTTGAATGTTGACCCGACTGTTTAGTGCTCAGGGACAAAGAGTGCGGGGCAAATACGACAATGAAATCGTCAAACACGATAAAAGATGGTCACCGCTCGACTCACAAGCCGACGCCGCAAAGGTCGCGAGGAGCGAACGTCAATTACAAAGATAAGACAACGTGTCGCGGACAGCGGACACACACGACGTCGGCGGGTTTGCCATTTTGCCGACAGTGATGGGCATAATCGAGATATTTCGATTATTAAAATAATATCGAATATAATCGAGATATTTCGATTATGAAAATAATACCGATTAGGTAAATGATAATCGAGTGATTATTTCTAATGATACCTCGTTTATTTTGAAAACAGTGAATTCTTGATCTCAAAATAGTCAATAACTCAAAATGTATATAATAGAATATAAATTATTTCGAATGATGGCCATGAAACGACGGAATTAACTATCATAAAATATTATAATCAAATTATAATTCAATTGTTGTTGACTTCGAGTCTTCGTATTTTCGACTCGTTTAATGTACGGTGCCAACCACATTTACCTAATAATGTTGTATTATTCTTAGTTATTTATAAAAAAACATAGACTATAGAATTAAGACTATGATTCACTCAACCATAAAACAACAAAAATTGCTTAGAACGTTTATAATTAAATTATGTCAATATTATCCAAAATACTTTATACGTGTAGTATACTGGGTAGTATATTTAATATTTATATTATATAACCATAGGATTATTTGGTAGGTATTAAATATAGGTATATACTTATTTGTTAATTGGTTGCAATATTTCTCTGTTTTACATATGCTACCACTAAGTTCATAATATACTCTTCAAATATTGTAATGAAACATTTTTTATTTATTTAATTAAAAGTAGTAATTTTTATGTAACTTAAATCATACATGTATAAAATACATAATGTAAACATAATTTTTATTTAATAATAAAAATAAAAGCAAATAATAATTTTTAAAATAGAAAATAATAAATACACTTTAAAGTATTATATAAATTAATTTAAATAATAAATTCAAGATAATATGATAATATGACTATTTCAATGTATATTTTATGTGCCTTGTTTCTTCGACGACGATTAAATGAAAAATGATTCAAATTCAATTGATAAAAAATAATATGTTTACAATAAATATACATGGATATTTAAGATCCAACGTATTTATAAAAAAAACATAAAAAAAACATCATTGTATAATATATTAATATCTAAATAAACCCAACGCAAATTCCGGCTGAAAAAACAAGTAACACATGAAGGCACGGATCCGCAAGATAAAAATATAAATTGCATGTTACTGTAATAGGATAATAATAACATAATATTAGATATTTAAACATATTAATATACATTAGTAGTTAGTACCTATATAGATATCATCATAAGGTCGCAATAATTTAATAATTATTACTATATATTTTGTTTGTTACATTCGATATCAGTGGTGCTTTAAGAATAACAGTTTTATTAATAATTAAAAATATAATAGGATAATAAGTACATTATTTAAAACTAAATTTATTTTCTTTCCGAATTTGTGTAGGACTTTATATAATATTAAAATAGTTCATAACGAACCACATATTTTTGTTTGCTAATTCCCTTTAAAATTTATCAAAATTAAAGATTGAATTTTTTTATTGGTTTGGGGGGTGTCCAGACACCGTTGACACCCCCCCCTG